TAGAACTGACTGGTACAATTAGGATTGATGGAGACCAGTGGTAACATGATACTTTAGAAAAATAACTTAGGATTACTACCTGCATCAAGGGCTAAAGCCTATACCATGTAATACTACTAGAACCGTGAGATACAGTTGCCATCATGGGCTGCTATTTGTATATGAACTGGCATGGTCGGATGATACGGAAGCTAACTAAAAATCTCGAGTTCTGATCCTGGTATTTGAGTCGGGCGTGAGTCCCTAGGGCGTGAGTCCCTAGGGCGTCTCTTAGTCCACCCATTTCTGATGGGTACCTGACTCGTCGAAGTCACGGAAATATGTAAATTCTACTTACTTAATCAGCCCCGTTGACCTTTAGGTTAAAAAGGGTAACTATACGCGACCACTTATACCATAGCGTTACCCGCTTGTTGTATTATGGGATACTTCAAGTGTTGACTGCATAATACATTTTAGCGATGTTTATGTAAACTGTCCTGTAATTATAATTTGTACCTGACCAGCCAATTAATTCCCCCTGACCTTCTAATCAGGTGGGGATCGCGGCCGTGCAGATCGCCAAGGCCAATGGTCATTTCGTCATAGGCACTGCTGGCACCAAGGCTGGCCTGGATCTTGTCCTGAAGGAGGGCGCCAACTTGGCCTTCAACCACAGGGAGGAAGGTTACATAGAGAAGATCAAGGTCAGTTGACCTCAATGAGATTTTTTTATTTTTTTATATTTTTTCTTTATATATATATATATATATATATATATATATATATATATATATATATATATATATATATATATATATATATATATATATATATATATATATATATATATATATATATATATATATATATATATATTATACAGCGCATCCAATGTGAAATGGACTCATGCAAATATTTATGAATGTTAGGCCCCAGATGATTTGTTTCCGTTACAAAATTTTCAGGAGGCGACGAAAGGTAAGGGTGTTGACGTCATCTTAGAAATGGCGGCTGGTGTCAACTTGACCAAAGATGTGGACCTTCTCGCCAAAAGAGGTCGCATTGTGGTAAGTAGACAAACCGGTTATATTAACAAGATGCATGTTAAAATATATTCTGTGTATTAAAAAAAAGGGAGGAATGGGGTGGTAAGGTTTATCCATTGCATTACGTTATTTGCTATCACATTCATTCATTCATGCATTGATCTATTTAAAGTTTTGTTTTATCACGTGTCAAGGTCATTGGGTCCCACGGTCCGGTAGAAAACTTTCACCCCCAGTCACTCATGCTTAAAGAGGTGAACGTCATGGGCGTGGCTCTAATGACAGCGACAGAGGTGAGGACACGCCTACATTAGTTTGTTGGATGTTAAGTCCGTGTGTAGCCGTGTTTGTGTGTCGACCTGATATTTTTATGTCTACACATCAGATGGTCTCTACAACTTTTCGTTTGCTGTTTTCTGTGTTTCTGAGTTTTTTTTTTTTTTTTTTTTTTTGTTGACACTATGATATGTATATGTGCTTCGACATCTTTAATGTGGTGTTTTAGTGACTCTTGACAACTGCCCAGTTGGTCTCTTGACATCTGCTCGCCGGAATGATGGTCTCTTGACATCTTGTTCGTGTCTTGAAATTGAAATCTGTCTTATTGCAGGAGGAATGGACGCAGGTCAAGAACGGAGTTGAAAGCTTGCTGAAAAAAGGTGTTTTAAAGCCAGTCATAGCTAAAGAATATAAACTGGGCGAGGCCGCGCAGGCGCAAATAGACATCAAGAGCAACTCGGGAACTCTGGGGAAGATTGTGTTAGATGCAACTAAATAATATTTGTTTCGTTGAAATTAAAAACAATTTTCTTTTTACCATTTTATGACAGCGAGACATGGAAATAGAAAGGAAATGTTATTGTGATTTTGTATATTTTTATATAAATTTTTAGCGCACTTGTTTATTGGTTACTGATACAAAAGTCTTTTATAACACGCCTTTATATTGCAACTGTGTTTGTGTTGTGGTGACCTATTTAACCAACGACAATAAAAAAATCTATTAAACTTTCATTAGTATACTACTATGTATAATAAAAGTTTGAATTATTATAAAACAATTACATCTTTGTTTTATTTTGCTTTTTTATTAGTCTAATTAAATCAATTATAGCTGTTAAGAAGTGTTTCTTTCAGGCATCTCTTCAGGAAATAGCACTGGTTCCCCCCCCCCCCCCCCCCACCACCACCAACCACGCCTTGCGACGCCTCTGAACTGAGAATACGTTTTGAAAATGTTTGCCTGTATCATTATAACTTTCTTACATGCATGCATGACATTTTACAATACCAAAATACATCGTTTTTAAATGTATATGATGATGTTGAAAGAGGTAAAATTGAGAAAATAAAGGAGGAATGTCGTGTCCTGAAAAAAATATTTAAAGGATTAGAAAATATTAACAAACAAAACAACAGTTCGTTAAAAATATAGAGGTTGTTTTGATAAACTCCAATGTAAACAGGCTTGGTTTTTAAAAGTTTGAACATTTGGAGACTAGGTCCACAACATGCCAGGAGGGAGAAGAAGGGAAAGACGACTCTGGATGGATGACATCAAGGATTGGAGTGGCAGTGGACAGAAAGAGATGGCGGAGAATTATGGGCAACTGTGATGATTATCATAATTATGATGATGGGGATGTATATGATTATCATCATGATGATGATAGTGATGATTATCTGATGATTATGATGATGGTGATGATGATGATGATTATCATAATTATGATGATGGGGATGTATATGATTATCATCATGATGATGATAGTGATGATTATATGATGATTATGATGATGGTGATGGTGATGATGATGATTATCATAATTATGATGATGGGGATGGTGATAATTATTATCATCATGATGATGATAGTGATGATTATATGATGACTATGATGATGGTGATGATGATGGTGATGATGATGATGATTATCATAATTATGATGATGGGTATGGTAATCATTATCATCATGATGATGATAGTGATGATTATATGATGATAATGATAATGGTGATGATTATGATGATGATGATTATGATGATGATTGTGATGGTGGTTGTGATGGTGATGATGATGACGACGATGGTGATGATGATCCACAACGGTACCGAAAATAGGAAGCACCTAGCGTAGGTTTAAGCTATAGGCTATGCTAGGCGCATTGTTTTGCACAAGAGCTAAACTGCGTAAAGTAATACAACTCTCTTTATACCAACCGATTCAATACTAATCTCAGCGACTGTATAAGTATAGGTCTGCTTTATACCGTTTAGGGGTCATCCATAAATGACGTCACGCTTTTTTGACGATTTTTACCTCCCCCCCCCCCTCCCCTCCGTCACACGTCGTCACAAAAAGCCAGACCCCCCCCCCCCCTAAAATGACGTCACACCTCAGCCTACAACCCCCCCCCCCCTCTCAAAATTGCAGTTGAATTTTTTTTTAAACATCGATATTTCTTCTAAAATGTTGTTTGCAAACTGTCAAAATAGAGTATTTTAATCAATTCCTATTACAATTTATTAAAACAGTTTTCTAAAACGCGAAATAACGTCTAAAATTCGTTTACTAACATTGCTTTTTTATAATGCAAAAGTGTGACGTCGCACCACCTGAGCCCCCGCCCCTCCCCCTCATCACACACCGTCACAAAATTACGGACCCCCCCCCCCCTCCCCCCTACGAGTGTGACGTCATTTATGGACGACCCATTAACCGTGATAATGCACAAATCTGCAGGGAAGTAAAAAAAAAAAAAAAACTCCTGAAATCGAGAAGTTCTCAAATGTTTATTTTTAATACACTCGTGCTCATTGTAAGCATTAAAACATTTAACAAGTACGATAACACAAATAATAATGTGTTTATTGTTTTGCTAAAAATAATGTTTTTATTTTTCAAAATAGTTTGTCAGTCTGCGGCAACTAGACTCGTAAAGTTGATTAGCAAGGGAAAGCACTCACTTTTTAAATCGCAACTTGTTTACAATTTATTGTAAACGGCGCATTCAGTGGCGTATATTTATTTTAAAAATTTAAGGATATTAATATCCACCCTTTGAATATATGGTAAAACGAGCCCCCGACCTCACCTAAACCAACTGGCGGGCTAGTTCACTTGCTGCATAGAGTTAAGGGCTAAAGGGTAAAGTGAAATTATAAAATTAAAACAAACCCCCCCTTCCCCCCCTCCCGCCTAAACTAAAACTCCTAAAAAAACTAAAATTTAAAAATGCCAATCAATGGCCCTGCCCTTATCATTAAGTGATTAATCCTAATCGAGGCTATAGGCATAATATTTTATTATTTTTTTTCATTTTGAAAATGTAAAAAATAATAAGAAAATGATTTTCTGCTAGATTCTAGATCTAGATCTAGCTCACAGAAATATTTACCAGATCTCTAGAACTTAGGCTTAAACTTAATTATTTACCAATAGGCCCTACCTATTGTATTCATATTTATTTACATGGCTGAATCATGTTAGCAGACACTGTTTCAAAATACGATTTAGAGTCAAGCAGTGGCCTGTATTATTATAGTGGAAAAAGTTTATTTTCAAAAATAAAATACATTTTAGTAAGTAAATGAAGAATTTAGAATGAAAATACATTGGTTATTATTATTATTATGTACGTTTTCTGATTAACAGGACAGCAACTTCCTAAACACACAGAAAATGTCATGTTGCCACTGAAAGAATAATGGCCGACTCCCACTCCCAGAACTTCAGGAGAGTGAATCTCTGCTCACCTGCTGGAGGGATCTACATAGGTAAATACCTGCACTACCACATTGTTGCATTATTATTATCATCTTTACACATCGCTTCCCTAGAATTAGACTGTTCCAACACCATTTTTAAAAATTTATACACCATTGTGTTCTAAATCCAACAAGGCATCATGGCAAAACATTTCGTGGCTGTATCTCTCACCATTATTACAGAAAACTTTATTTTCACAAAGTTCTTAATACAGAAATGTTAAGGAAAACTAAACTTTAAAGCCTTGTGGTGAACATTTTTGAAAAGTGGAACTAGAACAATCTTGTTCTAGGGAAGCGATCTCTTTTGCCATTGGTTGTCCAAAGCTAACTTTGTTTAATGTTCTATCTTATCTGTTGTTTAATTGGTTTAAAGTTTAAAATTGTATTATTTTTTCTTTATCTTCTTACCTTTAGAATATGGAGCTGAAGACCCCTTCTCTCAGTTGACCAAAGCCTTGTTGACCTCTGACTTTGAACATCTGACCTATCTGCTGGACTTAGGGCTGGATCCTGATTCCAGAGATGAAGATGGCAACACACCATTGATGATAGCGGTCAAGGAAAGTCAGTGACCTTTCACCTTAGCTTTGATAATATGCTCAATTGTTAATTTTATAAATGCTACAAAATATTTGGCATAATATGAGATGGGCAACCCTTAGCAAATTAGCTTGAAAGCATTTTTTTAAAATGATGTTAAACAGCTTTTGTTACCTAAATAGAAATTTAATAATTTACCTACACAATTTCAATATTCTTGTAATTAATTGGGTTAAACAAAACTTTTAATAGATCTTACAAAAATTATACAAGCGTTTATAGTTTGTAAAAATAGTATACAAAATAAAAAGAGAAATATATTTAACAATTCCATGATCATTTCTGCTTTGGATTTTTAATTCACCTTTTACTTCCCTGACAGGGTGTGAGATGTCATTAAACATTCTGATCAGCTACGGGGCAAGCGTCAATGTTTGCAACAATGAAAAGGAGACGCCCCTGATGCTGGCGGGCTGGGATGGCAACATGTGGTCTGTGGAGATGCTGCTGAAGAATGGGGCGGACCCCAACTCTGTCGAGTGCAAGAAAGGCACCGCCTTGATCCAGGCTGTCAAGCGCAGGCATAAGGAAGTTGTTAGAATGTTGATCAGTGCTGGTAAAACTAACTTTTTTTTGTTGATTCAGCCTGCGTATGCTAGTATACATTTTTGTCACACTTTTTGTAAATGTATATTTTAACTACTGATATTAATAATTATTTAACTAAAATAAATTAAACAATTACCATTATTAGATATTTTGAGTTTCAAGCTAGTAAATGTATTATCAATTTATTCCCATGCCTTCCTGAATGTATATCTAGTGATACATGCGAAGAATAGTAAAGCAATCTTGTTGAATAATTAAATCAGCTGTTTATTAAAAGTCTAGCAACCCAGATACATGTTCACTTTTAAATCAATGAATATTTGTTACCTTTGTAAAACACTTGTAGACTAATGAATGTATCTACGACACAGGGGCAGGGATAGACTTGTCTGACCAGTACAGCTTGACCGCTGTGTCCTACGCTGTCAATGCCAGTGAAACTGACCTGGTGGAGATGTTGTTGAAAGCTGGGGGTAATCCTAATGCCACAGACAGGTGAGATAACACATTGAACACAATGCCACAGACAGGTGAGACAACACATTTACTCTATAGCTAAACAATCCAAAATCTCTTACATTAGTGAAACTGTCAGCATCAATATTTAGCTTATTTTAACAGTTACCATCTAACTACCAATCAATCACCAATGAAAAAGTATAGATTTTTACACTACACAGCACCTAAGGTTTAAAAAGTTAAGTAACATTTTCAAATATTGGTTTCAGGTTCCGCTGCAACGCTTTAATAAGAGCTGCCGATGCTGGACGTGACGAAATCGTCCAGATTTTACTGCGCTACAAGGCTGACGTTCACTCCCCAACCAAGTACGGGGACACGGCCCTAACATACGCCAGTCAGTTCTGCCAGGCTCGGACTGTCCAGCTCCTCATTGACAGCGGCTCGAAGATTAATCACGCAAACGATCGCGGGGAAACTGCCTTACATCTGGCGGCAGACAGAGGTCGTGCTGATGTCATTAGAGTTCTGTTGACAGCCGGTGCAGATCTTAACATCAAGAAACAGGACGGAAACACGGCCCTAATGTCTGGCGCTAGACGCAGCTCTGATGTTGTTAAAGAGTTGATCAATGCTAGAGCAGATCTCAACTTGAAGAATTCTTCAGGTCACACCGCGCTGTTGATTGCTGCCACCTGGGGGCCATTCGAGGCCGTTGTTAACCTACTTGAAGCTGGCGCTGACCTGGAGATGGCGTCTAATGAAGGTGAGACTGCGCTAATGAGTGCAGCCAGGTGCAACAGAAACAAGGCAGTGCTTCACCTGTTGAAGTCAGGTGCCAAGGTTGATCTGGTGCACCGAGATGGAACTTTGAACTCTGTGTTGATGTACATTTGCAGGTTTTGTCTGACGGACACAGCGCTCTACCTGCTGGAGAACAGGAAGCCAGCTGAGCTCATGCTCAACCACGCCAACTCCGTGGGTCACACGGCCCTGACCTACGCCTGCTCGTGTGAAAACCCCCAGGTTGTGAGGTTGTTGATTGAACTCGGTGCCAAGGTCAATGTCCGAACCAATTACATGGACACGCCCCTAATACTAGCCACCAAGTTCAGCGACCTGCTGACTGTTCAATATTTAACCGACGCTGGAGCAAAGATTAACGTTTTAAACAAGGGCTACCAAACCCCTTTACTGAACGCTGTCAAACGAGATCGAATAAATATGGTCCAACTTCTTCTTTGGAGAGGTGCCTCGGTGACCATGGAGCTCCATTACGCAACTTTGCAGGGTAAAGGCGAGGCTGTGCAGGTCTTGATGCAGAACGGTGCAGCGCCAACCGTTCAGAGCGTGGAGATGTTCTTCACGGACCAAGCAGCACAGTCCTCTGGTCATTACCCTCAGGGAGCTCATCATTCTGGCCAGGATTTTTCAATGTTTGACTACCAACTCTCTCCACTGTGCATAGCACTGCTGTCTGGCCACCCAGACATTGCCAGGTTTTTCCTCACCAACTGGTTCCTCACAACATTTGATACCTCACATCTCATCAACAGTCGTTGCTTTAGGCAACTTTTGGTCAATAAAAACCTTGACACGTGTCTAGAGATTCTGGACAACATCTCCTCTCATCCCTGGAGACTTCAGACACTGAGTTTTGTGTCAGGCTCCACCATAATGGGGGATGGGCCGGACAGGGCGGAGAACATCCAAAAGCTCAAGTTGCCAGATTTCTTCCAGAGGAGATTCCAATTTCGAGACTGCTCAGCATTTAGTGATAGAAGCAACTGGAAAGATGTTTCTTATACTGTGTAGGTTGATGTATCTTCTACCTGTAGTAGTTGTAGTATGCTGATTGCTGTTTAATACAAGCAAATTTTTCTCTACGTCTCTAAAACATGAAGCAAAATGCAGTTTTTGAATGAATGGTATGTTTTCTCACTCATTTATGTAAAATTTATTTAGTATTTTACTATTATGTTAGTTCTCTGTTTATGTTAGTTACTAAGTTTTATTGTTAAAAAATCACATCAAGTTTATTCAAGTTATGTGAAAGTGTGATATTATTATGTTTTCAGTATTAATATATTGTAGAACTAAACAAAAGAAATTTTAAATACTATGTATTTGTATGTTTATATTTTTTTATATAATATATGTAAAGATCACAAAATGCTCTCTATTTCATCACTATCTGAAACATACCACAAAGAAGTTTCCAATCATTACAAATTTGTGCAGCTTAGGTTTGAAGATTTGTTTACAAACCCTCAAAGAATAGAAACAATAATGTCCTAATCATTTTTTACTTCAACAGCCCACTATTGTTTTTAAATGTTATTACATTTTTAAACATGTTGATTTTATTAAACTTGAGGAATTTTTTTTTTTTTTTGGAAAAACAATGTGTTACTGGTCCTTCATAATTTGGTAAATTAGATCTCGATCAGTTTTTGTAAACTACATCAGATATTATATAAGACTGATAAATGCACTTTACTTTTATAAAAATTTCAGTTTTTGATTTGAGTTCTGGTGGGTTTTTTTTTTATTTTAATCTTTGTAGCTTGAAACCATTTTGTAAAACAAAATCTATTTACTTAACTGTTAATAAAAGGTAAAAATTATAATACAGCAGAAAATGTATTTAGTTGGACTATATTCTTCTCTACTGAGGTTTTGTTGGTCATATTTTATGAAATGCACCAAACAAAACAAAAGTTATTGTTTATATTAATCATCCTGACAAATACCTAAGGTTGAATTTCAATTGTTGCATTTTTTAAAACTCTCTTGTATGTTAAATTTATTTTGAGTATGCATTTAACTAACTTCTGGTCAGTGAAATGTATTTTGCAGATAACAAATAACACCCTTAAAAAAGTTACTTTTACAATTATTACCTTCTACTTCTACTGATGTATTTTAATTAATGAACCACATCAGACACAAATAATTCAGTAGATGTATATGAGTTATATTCTATAAACTTCTGTACAAGTTTTATATATATAAGTGGTTGTTAAATTAAAATTTGAATATTTTATACATTTTTTACACAAAGTCTAAGTGATGCAACTATTAAAAAATGTAAATAAAAAAGTGAACCAAGTTGCTTGACTATTGTATCATCATTCAAATAAAGTTTTCCTAATTTGTAGGTCGTTCTGTTTTATATTTAACACAGTATCATAAACTTAAGGGTAGTTGTGTTTTAACAGTCTCATACAGTCTCATACAATCATAATTTTTCTCTGTTTAGACTATTGCCATGTTTTTTTTTTTGGTCTAAAACTAAGCAGTGGGCAGTGATGTCATATGATCAAATTTAAAAAAAAAAACTTTTCCAAAGCTGTTGAAGTTTTTAATTTGCTGCTTACTTGTATTGTTTTATTTATCTGTACTGTTTACTGTTTTAGATAAACTATAAATAACAATTTTAGTCAATTTCACCCAGTCTCTTGACATTTACATTGCCACATGCAATTGCAGTTACAAAAACTGATGTTTTAGTTAGGGATGGAGCACATATTATTTCTGTCATACCAGGAGTTAAAAAAAAATCACATAATGTGTTTCTTTACTAATGACAGGGGTGTAAAATTACGAGAGAGAAAAAATCAATACGAAAAAATAAAATTTTAGTATTTTATATTTATATTTCTGGAGAATATGGAATACCCCCCCCCCCCCTCCATACACACACACATAACTTTCAACATTCAACCTATGAATCTTACTTTGGTTTATTGATGAAGATTCTATTTTTTCTTAGTCAAATACTTTGCATAATCCATTAGATCTGGAATATTATATCTATATTTTCTATGTCTAGTATCTTTAACTAGATTTAGGTGGATTACGGTAACTAGTAAATGCATGCAAAATGAAATTTTCAAAACACGTCGGTGACCTATGACCTTAACCTTTGCCTTTACAAATTGCTTGAGTTGCTGAATACTGACGATAGGCCTAGTGAGATTCAGTGAAAGACTTCTCTCTGGTATAGAATCTAGATCTAGATAGATCAAGATTTAGATTCTAGTATAGACTAGTATTTAAGTGTAGCACTTAAATGCCAATTGCCGATTTTTTTTTTCTAAAATCTTGATTCTAGACTAGAATCTACACTCTACAGACAAGCAGTTGCAAACACGGCTAACTTTGAACTGTTAGACTACTAGACTAGTAACAGTGTTACTCAGTTGACAGTTACCGTGCTCTTACACTTCTTGAGACTTTACTTTTAGTTTTGTCTTTAGTAAAACTTTGGTTTCGGTTTAGTTAGATTAGATCTAAATCTAGACCTAGTAACTTACTTGTTAGATCTAGCTAGAATCTAGACTAAAATCTAGAGTATTCTTGAGTCTATCATTTTATGTGATTTTATTCATTTATCATGACAATTGACCAGACTGTCTAGTAACTAGATCTAGATATCTAGATCTAGACCTAGTAGCTACATCTAGATCTAGTTAGTACCAAACCCCCACCCACTCTGGGATAAATAATAATAATACATTTCTCTTCATTTAGTTAGAAAAATATCCTAAGTGGGTTTGGTGCAGCCTTTCATTCCCACGTTTTCTTTAACTTGCTTTCTCTGTTTGTTTGTCTTTCCAATCAAATCTTGCGATCGAAATTTCTGGCACTTCCCAGTTAGCTAGCGCGCTGAAATTTTCAGGGAAGCTTTCTTTTGGATGACCATAGAATATGCAATTGTTATTATTACTAAATTGATCAATGGAAACATTTTATTGAGCATTTTAGACCGCTATAGAATCTATATATATAATTCTCCTCTGCGAGCCATTAGAAAAAAAAAAACGAGCGACGCGTACCTCGCGCGCAGTGAAGCGAACGATCCCACGTCGCCACAGGCTTAGGGGCAGATAATTTAGTTTGAACCGAGTTTAAAGTTACAGGAGGTTGGCCAGTTTGGGGGAGACGATATGGTAGAGTGGTTGGGCACACGATTGCTATCCCACTCGACACGGGTTCAAATCTATGTGTTCTAGTCAGTAACGTATTCACACAACAAAGCCATTGGCCAAATTTCAGACGCGGCCAGATTGATAAAGACATTCCCGACTTAAGCATTGACTTTGGACCAGATGGAATCCATCGGATTTTTTGGTGTTCGTCCTTTGTGAGTGTTTGTCTTCGTTTACCCAAAACAAAAGTGAATGCGAGAAGATAAAATCGATAGCAAGATTTTAATGCAAACAAACAGACAAAGACTAAAAAGTAGAAAATAATAATCATTAAAAAAGTTTTTAAAAACCCACGTTTTCTGATTGAACTAAAAAGTAGAAAATAAACGCTATACATCACAATAATGCAAGCGATCACTCTACTATAAGCGATCAAAAACGTGGGGCGCCGTGATTTTCTTACAGTTTCTAATACTGTTGACTCTCTACAAGCTCCCTAATAAAAGTCAATAGTATTATCTAATCAATAGTAATATAACTTTTACTTCGGCGCCCCACGTTTTTCATCGCTTATAGTAGAGTGATCGCTTGCATTATTGTGATGTATAGCGTTTATTTTCTACTTTTTAGTTCAATCAGAAAACGTGGGTTTTTAAAAACTTTTTTAATGATTATTATTAGTGAATAAGCACAGTGCACATATGTGAGTCTGTATGCCTGCCTAGGGTATCATACTGTTTGGTCTCATTAGATAAACTGCTCAATAATGGAATCAGATTGTTTTTTCATTATCAGGAGTTTTTCTTTTTTTACAATGAAACCAAGTATCAGGCTATAAGTATAAGTAACTGGTTTTTTTTAATCGGAATGACTACTCGGAAAAAGATGTTTCGGCAGAAAATATGAAACTCAATAGTTCTGCGCATGTGCAGTGACCTAAATAATAATAGCTGTGCTAGGGTTAGGGTGCTGCAGTTTGTAAACACCATAGAAAACATCGCCACAATTGAAAGCGGTAGTTTCTCTCTATTGCGCATGCAGCCACATGCATATCTTTTTCCAGCTAGAATCTTATGTGCAACTCACCTGCTTTTTTACCTGAAATTTTAAAAATTAACCAAATGAGATTTTCCCATTTGTAGGCCTAATTGTGCAAGAAATCTACAAGTTTTGACAAATCTTGATGTTTTACACCTTCCTGAGTAAAAAAAAACAGTTTTGCAGGCTTGTTTGTCTGTGTGTACGTGAACACGACAACTTGAGCAACATTTCAGTTTGAGTTAGCTTCACAAAATTTCTTACAATTTTTTTACTTAGTCCTCTTTGCTCCTTATGGAGCATAGGGCCTCCACCATTTCCTTCCATTTCTTCCTATCCTCGGTTATTAATTTTGACATCTCCCAAGACATCCCTATTGGCTTCAGTTCTTCAAGAAGACTCCGCCTCCCGGTCTGTCTTGGGCGCCCTCTCTTCCGCTTTCCCTGGGGGTTCCACTCAAGCGCTTGGTGTGTAACATTTGTGTGAGCCTTTCGCAGTGTGTGACCCACCCAGCGCCACTTCCTCCTTCTTATTTGCACACCTATAGGCTCCTGCCTAGCTTTCCTCCATAGTTCCAAGTTCGGCACTTTGTCCTGCCATCTCAGTTTCAGTATCTGTCTAAGGCATCTATTCATGAAGGTCTGTATCTTTGCTGTGCTTGCCTTGGAGACTCTCCATGTCTCTGCTCCATACAGCAGAACTGCCTTGACATTAGAGTTAAATATCCTAATTTTTGTGGTAATGGAGATGGCCGAACTTTTCCATATGGGTCGCAGGACTGTGAAAGCGCAGCAGGCTCTATTAACTCTAGCGCGTATGTCCTCCTCTGTGCCTCCCGTTTTGCTGATCTTGCTGCCAAGGTAGACAAACTCTTGCACACCATTTACCTGTCTTCCGTCTATTGACACTGGAGCCTCCTGTTTATTGTTAATTCTCATCATTTCCGTCTTTTCTTTGTTGATCTTCAGACCTACGCGCTGCGAGATGGCTCCTAATGCATCAACTTTTTCTTGCATGTCCTGTGCGAGAGTATACAAAAGTATTAGGGCCTATAAATTACTATAATAATTTCTAAATTTGTAGTTCAGTTTCAACTTTTGAGCATTTTCCAGAAACCCTTAGTGGTACTTTTTCTCTAAACCTGAAAACCATTAAGTTGGGTGTAAAAAATTGTATGAATAATTATTTGATTGTATGAGCAGGTTTCTATCAATTTTTGTATGGTTTCTAGTAATTGGAATAGAATGTAAAGGTTTTGTGTCCACATCACATTTTACCAACACTGAAAAACATTTATTTTTGCTTGAGGCTTACTTAATAGTAAAAAGAGTCCATTTAGATTCTAGTAGTTCGCAGGCAGCACTTTTTAGTCATTCTGTATGGCATGGTTGGATGGTAGAGGAAACGCCAATGAAGTCTCTAATTTGGATGCTGGATATGAGACAATAACGATGCCCCTGATTCCACCCAGCTTTGATTGTGTACCAGACTGAACTTAGAGAAGATTTAAATGGTTGGGTATAGAACTAGCCACACTTTCCCTTAATCAGCTACAGGTCTACCAAGATCTCAGAAACAGAAACTAATTTTATTTTTTAAGTCTGATAATATAAAAATTGCTAATCTTATTATAGTCTTTACACATGTTAACTATTGTTACTAAGACAAAATTGGTATTGAATTGTAGGCCCTAGAACATGTTAGTGTTAGTGAATTAAGGCTGGTACAATTAAGAAGTTTTAAAAAGTGTTCAATGCGCCTGCATTCATTTAAGACTCAACTAAAACTATTTTATTTATCTGTTAATGATTTAGCTTTTTTTTTGTTTATTCATAGTTTATCAGTTGATTATGGAGTAGGTGAAGTATAGATCACCCTGTTCCTGGGGTCACAAACATGTATTTTCACAATTATTTTAGCGCAGTCAGCTCTAGTAAAATTATCAGCAAACCATGACCTACAACACTCTCTGCCACAACAGACTTGTACAAATCTAAATGGTAAAAATTGCTTTGTCATGGTACTTTCACATATAAGTAGGCTTACACCAAGAAATTTTATGTTTCAGACATTTTATTGACTTGGCTGTAGAGGTCAAAGGTCCATACAGTGATATTACCTCAGGTAACTTGTTAGCTATTATTACTTTATTGCTCTCATGCTCTCTTTTTTACTCTAAGGTTGCTGTATCATTGACAGCATATGTTATTATTAAAATACAACTACAACTATGCTATTTATTTTATTTTATTAAATATTATTGTAAATTCATATTTTGTTTTGAATTTATTTCAAACTGTATACTAAAATCAAAGTTTCAAACTTTAGCCCACAAATTGTAGATTAAAAACTTTATTATATCAGGGAATGTTTTATTTTATAACAAGTGCTTGCTATCTGTGCACATCAGACCAAGAATACACCAGACGAGTAGAGTCATTTTGTAAAAATTCTGATTTGTTAGTTTGATGATCCTCCTTAGAGTGGCACATCACACCATTTTGTAAAAATTCTGATTTGTTAGTTTGATGAGCCTTGGTAGAGCGAAACATCACATTATTTTGTAAAAATTCTGATTTGTTAGTTTGATGAGCCTTGGTCAAGTGGGGCATCACATCATTTTGTAAAAATTCTGATTTGTTAGTTTGATGAGCCTAGGGCGAGTGACACATCACACCATTTTGTAAAAATTCTGATTTGTTAGTTTGATGAGCCTAGGGAGAGTGACACATCACATCATTTTGTAAAAATTCTGATTTGTTAGTTTGATGAGCCTAGGGAAAGTGACACATCACATCATTTTGTAAAAATTCTGATTTGTTAGTTTGATGAGCCTAGGTAGAGTGACACATCACATCATGAAAGCCATCAGAGTGGCCAAGTTTGGGGGTGTAGAGAACCTCAAGTTGGAGGAGAACATTCCCATACCTACACCAGCTGCTAATGAGGTACCTGTCTTTCATTATCATTAAGATTTTTTACCTAATGAAATCATTATTAAAATTAAAAGCATGTGAATACATTAAAAATATTATAAATATTTGAGGTGTTAGAACATTAAACATGAATCTGGACAAAGCTGTTCAGTCTTAGTTTTTAAATTACCTTTCATTTAAATGCCAATTTTTGTGTTTAACATAATAGAACTTTTAAAATGTCTGTCTATTGTCTGTGTGTTATCCCATTACTAATTGTTTCCTGTCTTTTGCTCATGTTGTCTGTCTGACCCAGGTGTTGTCTGTCTGACCCAGGTGTTGTCTGTCTGACCCAGGTGTTGTCTGTCTGACCCAGGTGTTGTCTGTCTTACCCAGGTGTTGTCTGTCTGACCCAGGTGTTGTCTGTCTGACCCAGGTGTTGTCTGTCTTACCCAGGTGTTGTCTGTCTGACCCAGGTGTTGTCTGTCTGACCCAGGTGTTGCCTGTCTGACCCAGGTGTTGTCTGTCTGACCCAGGTGTTGTCTGTCTGACCCAGGTGTTGTCTGTCTGACCCAGGTGTTGTCTGTCTGACCCAGGTGTTGTCTGTCTGACCCAGGTGTTGTCTGTCTGACCCAGGTGTTGTCTGTCTGACCCAGGTGTTGTCTGTCTGACCCAGGTGTTGTCTGTCTGACCCAGGTGTTTTCTGTCTTACCCAGGTGCTAATCAAGGTGCTTGCTGCAGGTGTTAACCCAGTAGACACGTACATCAGAAGTGGCACCTACGCCAGAGTCCCCACCCTGCCCTACACACCTGGTCAGGATTCTGCTGGGGTTGTTGAAGCTGTGGGCCCAGGTGTCACCACATTCAAGGTCAGATGGGATTACATTGTTGCCAGCCATCTTTGTTTTTTTTTTACATAGCCACTGGCAGTAACAACATTTAGGTAGTAACTTCATGCAACTAGTTCTAAAGTTTGTGGTCAGACATGACTGTCATGACATAATACATTACTGTCACTGACGGCATATTACTGGTACTAATATGACACAAGACTGACACTGTCATGACACAAAACTGACACTGCCATTTTACATGGTACCTGTGTATGTCCACAGAAGGGGGACAGAGTGCTGACAATGCTGACCACTAGTGGCACCTACGCAGAGTTCACCACGGCCAACGTCCAGTACGTGGCTCACCTACACAAAAGCCTGACATATGAGCAGGGCGCAGGCCTTGGTGTGCCTTACTACACAGCCTACAAGTCACTTTACTTCAGGTAAGGAACAGGGTGGATCTTGTCTTCATTACACACATCGTTTGTGTTCACCACACATTTGTGTTCACCACACACCACGTTTGTGTTCACCACACACCACGTTTGTGTTCACCACACATTTGTGTTCACCACACACCACGTTTGTGTTCACCACACACCACGTTTGTGTTCACCACACACCACGTTTGTGTTCACCACACATTTGTGTTCACCACACACCACGTTTGTGTTCACCACACACCACGTTTGTGTTCACCACACACCACGTTTGTGTTCATTACACACCACGTTTGTGTTCACCACACACCAAGTTTGTGTTCACCACACACCACGTTTGTGTTCACCACACACCACGTTTGTGTTCACCACACACCACGTTTGTGTTCACCACACACCAAGTTTGTGTTCACCACACACCACGTTTGTGTTCACCACACACCAAGTTTGTGTTCACCACACACCACGTTTGTGTTCACCACACACCACATTTGTGTTCACCACACACCACGTTTGTGTTCACCACACACCAAGTTTGTGTTCACCACACACCACGTTTGTGTTCACCACACACCACGTTTGTGTTCATTACACACCACGTTTGTGTTCACCACACATTTGTGTTCACCACACACCACGTTTGTGTTCACCACACATTTGTGTTCACCACACACCACGTTTGTGTTCACCACACACCACGTTTGTGTTCACCACACACCACGTTTGTGTTCACCACACACCAAGTTTGTGTTCACCACACACCACGTTTGTGTTCACCACACACCACGTTTGTGTTCACCACACACCACGTTTGTGTTCACCACACACCACGTTTGTGTTCACCACACACCAAGTTTGTGTTCACCACACACCACGTTTGTGTTCACCACACACCACGTTTGTGTTCACCACACACCACGTTTGTGTTCACCACACACCAAGTTTGTGTTCACCACACACCACGTTTGTGTTCACCACACACCACGTTTGTGTTCACCACACACCACGTTTGTGTTCACCACACACCACGTTTGTGTTCACCACACACCACGTTTGTGTTCACCACACAAGCAAAATATTACTACCTTGAAGAAACAACTAACATTCTGCAAACACAATTAGAGTTAACCCAAAGTTTAAAAGAGCAATATATTTTAAAAAATTGAAAAAATATGGTGGTCCACTAAAACTTAAATAACATAAATTTGTTACATTAGAATCTCATTTAACGAGTTACGCCATAATCTCATGTTATATTTTTACACTATAATCTCATGTAATGTTACACTAAAATCTCATGTAATGGGTTACACTATAGTATAATCTCATGTAACATTTTACACTATAATCTCATGTAATTTGTTCCTCTATAATCTCATGTAATGTGTTCCCCCATAATCTCATGTTATGTGTTCCACTATAATCTCATGTAATGTGTTCCACTATAATTTCATGTAATGTGTTCCTCTATAATGATTATAGAGGAACACATTGCATGAGATTATTAACCTCATGCAATGTGTTACCCTATAATCTCATGTAATGTGTTCCTCTATAATCTCATGTAATGTGTTACTCTATAATCTCATGTAATGTGTTCCTCTATAATCTCATGTAATGTGTTCCGCTATAATCTCATGTAACCTGTTCCTCTATAATCTCATGCTTTACCTCCAGAGCTCAAGCCAAACCAGGTGAAACAGTTCTTGTCCATGGTGCCAGTGGTGCTGTAAGTCTCATCTGTCTTTCCTTTATTGAGGCATTTTTTTTTTAAGTTTTGATCTTGGTATTATAGAACTGTGTGTATACACTACAATGATTGCAACTGTTACTGTTTGTAAAATGTCTGTCCTATAGAAATATCTGTAAGGTGTCTGTCTTATAGAAATATCTGTAAAGTGTCAGTCCTATGGATATGTCTGTAAGATGTCAGTCCTATAAACATGTCATTATGATTCTGCACCTGTCCGTAGGTGGGGCTAGCAGCGCTACAGATTGGCAAGGCCTATGGACTCCGCATGATTGGAACAGCTGGCACCAAAGAAGGGCTAGAGCTGGCTAAACAAAATGGCGCCGAGTTAGTTTTCAACCACAGGGAGGAGGGGTACCAGGATCAAATACTGGTGAGGCTAACAGTTACTATGATATGTACAGTTAGTGTGTGAGAAAGGCTTGTCTGCATGAGAAAAATGTTGCTAAATCTATAGGGCTGGTGTAGAGAAATTGATTTTTTATGTGGATGGTGTGAAGTAAACCTTGACTTATTTGTTTTTACAATGTTCAGAAATCAATTCCGGGAGGCGTGGATGTGGTCCTGGAGATGTTGGCTAATGTCAACTTACAAAATGACCTGAATCTGGTCAACTTCAGAGGAAGGATCGTGGTAAATATTTCGCTCTTTACATAATTTTCAATTCCTGAAATTGTGTTTAATATACATATTATCAAGGACTAAAAATGAAATAAAATTAAACTTAAATATGAAATTTGAAATGCTGAATTTGCAACTGAAAAAACTTTCTGAATTCATATGGGAAGTTACAGTTCAATTTTGCACATTTTGTTTTCTGAATACCTCAAGTATTCATTATGTTTTGTTTTTTAAATTATTGTTTAGTTGTGTTATTTGGATTTGACTGATATTTTATCATGCTTCTTAAGAGTTTTTTACTATGATTTTTTTAAATTGTTTCTTTGAGAATAATGTGACCATGATGTTTTTATCATTTTTTTTTCAAGTTCTTTGACTATTATTTTTTACTCATGTTTCTTTCAGGTTATTTAACCATGATTTGTGTATCATTGTCTCTGTTAGGTTGTTGGCTGCAGGGGTTCTATTGAGATTAACCCTCGCCTGTCCATGGGTAAAGAAAGCAGCATTATGGGGATTGCTCTAATGACCTCCACACCTGTAAGTCCACGTTATTTTTTAAAATATTTATTTTTGTTTATATTTATAAATAAACCTGCTTAAAAAATAGATGCTTATTATTTAACCCTTAAAGCGCGTGCCACGGGGCCTTATGCATTATAAGTTATGTAACAGCAAAGCCACAATCATGACTTGGCGCGCTTTAGGGTTAAACATATCAACACACTTTTATAATTATCACCATCAGCAATACTTTATACATGATAAAAAGTTATGGATATGGTAACTTTAATTTTAACCCTAAAAACTGTTTAACAGTAACAGTGTTGCATTTTATCTAAACCTTTGAAGTTATCTGAACTAAAAATCCGCTGAAATGAAGATGCTGCTTACATTATCTTAGTATCACCTTAATTAATGTAGATAGACTACTATATTTATGAAATACTTTAGTTCAAAACAGAATTGTATGACTGTCATGACAATCGTGTTGTCTGTCATAGGATGAGTGGAAACAAATGCATGCAGCGCTGGGTGCTGGACAGGAAACTGGCTGGCTGTTGCCTCAAGTTGGCAAAACTTACCCGCTGTCTGAAGCTGCGCAAGCACAGCATGATGTCATCAACAACACAGGAACAACTGGCAACCTCATCATCAAACTAGACTGAGAGAAGGGGAGGAATGTCATGGAGGGAGGGGAGGAATGTCATGGAGAATTTTTTTGTTTATGTATTACCACATATTACTTTTGTTATATTTCATATTCAGCAAGTATTATAATTATTGCAATGTAATAAAACAAGTCTCTATTAAAGGATTTTGTTTTTCAATTAATGGCATTCAAATCCTTTAAGTATTTGTTATAATATTAAAGGGGTTTTTTTGATAATTTTTCTCTCAACTTGTTTTATGAGTCAGCATTAGGCATTATTTGTGTTAATTTTCCATGTAAATAATTTAAAAATTTCCCGGTATTTGTGTTTGGTGCTACAACTTTAAAGTGTTTCCTTTGAAATGTTATTTCATTCAGAAAAAACACATGCTGAGATAAACAGTAAGAAAATAGATCTACTGTTAGTAGTTTTTTGAAACTGTACATTGTCATTGTATCTCTATTGCAACGGCATAGTGTTTTTTTCATTAACTATACCAATATTTGGTTAAAATAAATTTTCCTCTAAACAACAGTTTGTTTAATTGTTCATTGACAGCTTTTAACAGCCCTGTTTGAAATATGGATGGGAAAAGTTTCTACGGCAAGGTCATGTTACTTAGATTTAGTGACATTTGTTGTAGGTCTACTAGTATTATCAAAACTTAAAATACTGTTTGACCATTACTACAAAAATTGCTCTAAAGAACTAATGATCCTTTGGGCAGATGAAGTAGAGTTCATATGTTTCTTGACCTCTTCAAATGAAGAGATAGTGACTATTTACCAATTTAGTAACATTTGTTCTCAAACCTGACACATTTTATTAAAAAACAACAACCGGGCATCAATTATTTTTGTCTTGTGATTCATACATACAACAATGACATTATCAATATTATCTACAGGGATGTAAATTGATTCACTTTATTCTACATCTTGTAATTAAATTCATTGAATAAACAAAATTTTTAAGCTTTCACACATATTCGATCAAGGCTAGTTGACTAGTCAATGGTAGATCTAATAGGTCTACTCTCCAACAATGGCTACCTTTTAACTGCCAGATCAACAATCAAACATATCTACCTGATCATTAATCAAACAAGACTACCTTCTAACTACTAATTGATAACCATAACTACCATCTAACTATCTTATCATTCTATGAATGAGTAAATTGGCTGATTACAATGCTTAGGCTGTAGGTCTGGCTATTTTGACAATCTCTTATAGATCTAGTGGAAATGTGCATTGTTGACATTAGGCCATGGCTTGACAAAATGAATAGGCCTAGGTAGAGGCGGGGGTGACACCATTTAGGGGGTGGGGAGGTGACACCATTTAGGGGGTGGGGAGGTGACACCATGGCAAAAATTGCAAAATGTACAGAAAAAAAATGTGTCTGTTCTAGTAATGATTAATTAAACAGTCTTTTAAGCATAAATTGACAATTATTACAAGGGGTGGGGGTGACACCATGACGTAAACGTGCTATAGAGAAAACATTGCTACATCCAACTTTATTATTAACAGACCATAGATAAACATTGTTACTATTAACTCTGCAGTGATGAAAGCTTATGCACATACGTGTACGTGGCATATATTTAAATTATAAGCCTATGTAGGCAGACACAAACATATATAAATATTATTTTATATATAATATACTGTTTCTTTGGGGGGGGGGGTGACACCACGAATTTAGAAGTGATGCTCCTGGTGACACCCGACCTAGCGACGCCACTGACTGGTTACTTACTAAAACTAAAAGTGATATGGAGTCATCCATTTGTTGACAAGAGAAAGGGTCTAAAATTCAGGGTTTTTTTTTGTGGACTTCATAGACAGTTTAGTTAGACCTAGAGTCTAGATCTAGATTCTAGATCTAGATCTAGATCTAGAGTCTAGAATTAGAAATCTAGATTTTAGATCCAGTTTTAAAAAATCTGTTTTTCCTTGTGATTGCGATCCACCGTTAGCTAAAGTTATGCATAGATTTAGATAGATTCATTAGACTGGCTAAGGCTAGATCTAGATTCTAGATCTAGATACTAGATAGATCTAGTAGATATCTAGATATTTAATATCTAGATCTAGATCTAGAAATCTAGATCTAGAATAGTCTAGAATCTAGAATCTAGTCCTGGTCTAGATTTCCAGTTCTAGACATCTAGAATTCTAGATCTATAGAGAATTAATTTATTCACCTGCTGGAAAATCTGAATCTATTTAGTATTTACCCTATGATTTCTAAAACATATCGAACACGGTCGCTAGATTAGACATTAGATTAGACTCAGAGTTTAGATTAATTTACTTAAGTCGATAACAGACTAGAGTCAGTCTAATGCTATAATTTTACTGTTGCCTAAGCTTACTAAAATTATCGACCACAGATTGACCTGATTATAATGTCATCAATACGTGTGGCCTCGTGGCCTAATGGATAAGGCGTCTGACTTCGGATCAGAAGATTGCGAGTTCGAGTCTCGTCGGGGTCGAAACTTTTAATTAGCATCGTTTTTGTTTTGATTATTTTATTATGCAACCGCCGTAGGTCTAAATAATGTAATGTAATATCAATAATCGGATCAATATTTTCATCCGATTTCTCTAAGAAGCTTAGCCTATTTCTTACGTTATTTATACTATAAAATAGGTCAACATCTTGTCTGGATAACTAACTGTCGTCGCCATTTGTGCTACATGTCGCTACAAAAATAAAACCAAATTTTGTCAAATTTAAAATTATTTGTGGATCTAACGGTATACATGTTGATTAGGCGGGCTAGATAGTTATTAGATATATATTAGTTAAAATATTGAATGGATTTTCACAACTCTTGTCTGAGCTATGGCTAAGACTTTCAGAGCTTGTCCGGATGAGCCCCGCTACTAATGCGGAAAATGCGCGGGCGAAAATTAATCCCCGCCACTTGTGACCTATTTCTGATGTTAAATCATTGAATAATTAAACGCATGCTTTTAAAAACAACTTCTTATCCGCACAGTCCGGTTTGTCCACGAAGTTGGACTTTTTATCTGAATCCTCCACCATATTCAAAAATTAAGAACGAAGAAGAAGAAGATCCGCCTCTAGGGATGGTTCGGGTTGGGATTAGGGTTTGTGGTGGAGTTAGGGTTGGAGTTAGGAATAGGGTGGGGGGGTCGAGTTGGGGTTAGGGTTAAGGGTACCAAAATACGGACCTATTTATGCAACAGACTTGTCCCAATCTCAACCACTGTAATAAAATCTAAAAACACAAGTTTTGTATCCTTTTTTAATAATCTTTTTTTTTTGGGGTGGTGGGGGGTTAATGTTTTGCGAGGCTTATTTAGGGTTCCATCATGATTGTTGTCTATTTCGCGGATAAAATCCAGGTGTTTGTTGAAAGCATAAATGCAGAAAGTGCTTGACATACAATAAAGCATAAATATGTTTACATTTTTATTGTAGACAATCATTTATTTCGTAATAATGATTTTCAGTTGTTTTTACTAAACAAGTTGCAATTATTGTGCACAAATAAGATGTTCTAGTCCCGATCTAAATACATAGTACCTACCCTATAGATTCTAATGATTTAACTCTTTCTTCACTGAATGGAGAAATTAAATGGTTTTTTTTTCTAAACACAACCAGCCCGAGCAAGGTTCTTAAACCAGGCAAACCGTGGGTGATGGGAAACAATTTCTTGCACCTAAATTAGCAGCAGTTTTGCCATGTTTGTTTTCATCAAGCTGTTCTTTTTTTCTTGTCCAGAGGGCAATTTAATTTACAATTTGCATTAATTTTTTTAAAGGCAGTGTTCAGGCCAGAGTAGCCTATATTCATTTTTTTTTTTACAATTGGCGTTTTCCCAGTTGAGCAATGAGAATTTTAAAAATAAAGACCACCATACTATTAAAATTTGTTATTTGAGTCTTTAAAGTGAAACAATAATTCAAGGGAAACTACTCCGTTTGGGATTTTATAGCGTTACATTTGAATGTCTTACAGTTTTATTACCTTTTTAAATAAAATTTCCTTTTAACAAATACTTTCACAATGCTCCATGTATTATAGATGTGCCAATATTAAATAAATTGTCTGTTTTTTCTTATGTGGAAAAAATCCAAAAGATGTACTGTATAAGTAAAGAGAGTTATAGGGAAAGGAAAACAGTTTTTCATTTTAAATATTCGTGTTTTTTTTAAAAATATTTTTATGCATGTCTTCCGTTATACAAACATTTTCTGCAGTCCTACCAACAATGTGGCAACACCCGCTGACGTAGTATACAAGAACTGTCGCGTCATAACAAGCTCACCAGACCACCACACCTCATAAAGTAAACAACGAAAATATAAAATGTCTAATAAATATGAATTTATTAAAAGCATCACAGCATGCCACATACATAGTTAAAATCACAAGAATTTCATTGACTGTATTCTAGTAATGCTTAGTCCCTCACATCACTTCCTCAAGTTCTAGCACCCACACTCTACAGAGAAACTTTCTAGCACCTCTTTCGCCTCCTTATGAGTATTTAAGAGCTACCCTTCACTACATAAATAACAATAGCCAAACAAGGGGACACAACCCTAATACCCTGTGTGCTACTACATAGAGCTATTGGGTAAGTCAAGAGAATTGGTATGGGGAGGTTAACTTATTATAATAGAAGAGGGTAAGATTAAAGATATACTTTATAATAAGTTTAAATTTCAATGGCAGGTTGGATAATTAATATAAAAAAATTAGCATTTACTTAAAATACGAAACAAATAATCATTGCTTAACAAAGTTGAAGTAAATACAGCATCTAAATATTTTAAAAAAACTACGGAGAGTATAGTGTACATGCTTGGTTGAATTGATTCCAACTTTACAAGAAGTATAGGATTTTTTAAAATAAGGAAATTAATAAACTAAAGACTGTTCATTTGAGTAAAAAAAAAATAATGTCCCACATATTACATACCAAAGTGACCCCCACATTACACAACAAATGACCCCACTTTGTACACCTCAAACCCCTATTCACATACCATATTATGTTAAGTAGGCCAACATTTAGTAAACAAAAATCTAAGGTAGGAGCAAATCTTTGATTTTAAAAGTTAACATAATGATACAACATGTTTAATAGTATATTACTAAAATGGATTATGTCAACATATAATCTTATAATGATTTGAGCAATGTGTTTATACACATCGATTTTTTTTCCAGCTGGATATTCAAATCAAGTTTAATTATTATTCTATCGAGATATTTTACAATGGCTCATGCACTATAGACCCAATACAGTGTAACTCAGTAAGGGAGATAATTATGCACTCTTTTCATGCTAAATGCTTGTGTAAAAATAGCTAACCCACATACAAACAGAAAACTTTTTCTTTATTTACAGTTACACCAAAATTCGCCACTGGCACCTACAGTATCATTAGATTTGTTCAGTTCATGTCAATACCCCCACCCTGTCACCCTCCCCTCCCCAATAAGCTGCCAACTTAGGTCACTGCTACACACCAGTTGACCTAAAACACACATCCCCACCCCAGTCTGTGATAGAATATAAAACAAAATAAAATGTTGGACTAGACCTAAAAAAAACAATGTCTGCCACCTGAGGTAATTAGGTCAAATTACAATAAACTAGGTCAAATCAGAAGAAGAAAAGTAGGTCATGTTGCGAGGAAAATAAAGTAGGTCAATAAAATCTAGGTCACTGATGACTAAGTGTTATGCTGTCAAATTTGATAGATGTACAGGATGACTAAGTTATCACAAAAATAAAGGGGAGGTAAATACAGAACTAGAAGTCAGTAACTTATGGGACAGGTCAGTGTTGACAATCTCAGAAGTCACCAAACTGAGAGGTCACCAAACTGAGAGGTCACCAAACTGAGAGGTCACCAAACTGAGAGGTCACCAAACTGAGAGGTCAACACTCTTGTGACCTATGAATTAATTGAAGAGTTTATTGCAAAAATGTGTTTGCATAAGTAGAAATATAAATTAGATCAACATTACTGTCAAGGACGAAGTCAAAACTGAATTATTGCTATTGGCCCAAAATAAGAACAAATGATTCAAACAAACCCATGAATATTATTCTTTTACAATTATGGTTTGTGCTGCATTATGATTGAAGTTGAAAACATGAGAGTCACAACTACAACAGTAAAAGAATTTTTTTTGTATAGTGAGGTCTACACAAAGATATATCATAGAGACAAGAAAACATCCTAAGTTACTGACCAGCACCCCACACTAGAGAACCTCCCCACTCATCTAACACCCCACACTAGAGAACCTCCCCACTCATCTAACACCCCACACTAGAGAACCTCCCCACATCCAGCACCCCACACTAGAGAACCTCCCCACTCATCCAGCACCTCACACTAGAGAACCTCCCCACTCATCCAGCACCCCACACTAGAGAACCTCCCCACTCATCCAGCACCCCACCCCACACTATAGAACCTCTCCACACATCCAGCACCCCACACTATAGAACCTCCCCACACATCCAGCACCCCACACTAGAGAACCTCCCCACTCATCTAACACCCCACACTAGAGAACCTCCCCACTCATCCAGCACCCCACACTAGAGAACCTCCCCACTCATCCAGCACCCCACACTAGGGAACCTCCCCACTCATCTAACACCCCACACTAGAGAACCTCCCCACTCATCCAGCACCCCACACTAGAGAACCTCCCCACTCATCCAGCACCCCACACTAGGGAACCTCCCCACTCATCTAACACCCCACACTAGAGAACCTCCCCACTCATCCAGCACCCCACACTAGAGAACCTCCCCACTCATCCAGCACCCCACACTAGAGAACCTCCCCACTCATCCAGCACCCCACACTAGGGAACCTCCCCACTCATCTAACACCCCACACTAGAGAACCTCCCCACTCAACCAGCACCCCACACTAGAGAACCTCCCCACTCATCCAGCACCCCACACTAGAGAACCTCCCCACTCATCCAGCACCCCACACTAGAGAACCTCCCCACTCATCCAGCACCCCACCCCACACTAGAGAACCTCCCCACACATCCAGCACCCCACACTAGAGAACCTCCCCACTCATCCAGCACCCCCACACTAGAGAACCTCCCCACTCATCCAGCACCCCCACACTAGAGAACCTCCCCACACATCCAGCACCCCACACTAGAGAACCTCCCCACTCATCCAGCACCCCACACTAGAGAATCTCCCCACTCATCCAGCACCCCATCCCACACTGGTGTACTACCCCACACTGGTGCATAACCCCACACATTAATGCAGCACCCCATGCTAGTGCTAAGAAAGTAAAAAAAACAAAACAACATCTAAAATACAGTTAGGAAAGATAAAGGAAACAAGCAGAGAAAATATTGATGCAGCCATCAGCTAGTGTTGACTGGTGCATCAACTATAGTGTAGGTGCTGGATGACATGTGTCACTCTTTGTAACAAACTACACAAAAGTTACAACCATCTGTAGGTGCTATAAAACATGTCACTCTTTGTAACAAACTACACAAAAGTTACAACCATCTGTAGGTGCTATAAAACATGTCACTCTTTGTAACAAACTACACAAAAGTTACAACCATAGTGTAGGTGCTGTAATATGCGTCACTCTTTGTAACAATCTACACACAAAAGTTACAACCAACAAAACACAACTTACAACATTTCAAAATGTAAAGAAAAATTATGTTCTATTAGAAGATGGAAAAAATATGTGCTACGATAAAATATATTTTAAAAATGTTCTATAATAAAATTATGATCTATAATAAAATTATTATCTATAATAAAAAAATAAAAAATAAACATCTCTATAATAAATTGAAAAAAAAGTTCTCTTTAAAAACACAAAAAAGATGTTCTTAAATAAATTTTTTAAAAATAACATTCTGTAACAAATTTAAAAAAAACTATTTCTTTAAATTGAATTGAAAAAAAAAATTATGTTCCTTAATAAATGAAGAAAAATTACGTTCTATAATAAAATGAAAAAAAAATGTGTTCTGCAATAAATTTTAAAGTTTATTTTTATATTAAAATGAAAAACAAATAATGACCTTTAATAAAATAAAGAAAAATAAGTTCTATAATATAATGAAAAAAAAAATTATGTTCTGTAATAAATAAAAAGGAATTATTTTTTAAATTGAAATGAAAAAAAAAAATAAAATGAAGAAAAATATGTTCTATAATAACATGAAAATAAATGTTTAATGATGAAAAGAAAAAAATCTGAAACCTGATGCTGTTCAAATGATGAGCTTTGTGTTACAGGATGCTGCCTGGTTTAGAAATCAATAGTCAACTAAAAACTTGGAGTCAAGAGATAAGGAAATAATACATTAGAACCTAATGTCTCTATCATAGAAACAATAGTTTTAAAATTCGTTTTTCTAGGTCAATTTTTAATCTGTTTTTTAAGCTGTTTTAAATGGTCAAAGTTTGTTTTTTTAGTTAAAACGTTTGGCCAAATAATAAATAATGGAATTATTTTTTATTTCGGGCTGAAGTTGGTTAATTAAACCTCTGGACTGGTAGTGTCATAAAACACAGCAGGTGGGGAGGGGGGGGGGGAGAGAGATGGGAAGGTGGGTGAGAAAGGTCAAACGGGGCTAACGTATGCGGGTGATGTGAGAAAAAGAAACAAAAACATATTGTGTACGTCTGCATAGTCAACTAGTCCTATATACACACAGACTAGGATCAAAATGTCCTACACTACAACTCACATAGTCTAGGACTTTATATCTCAAAATTCACACATGATATAGAACACTAAATTATTTTCAAACAATTATTACGACACACATTGATAAATATATTTTACTTTATATTTTTAAACATGAAAATCTAAAAGGAATATTGTTTCCTGTAAAGCCAAATGACATGCTATAATTATAAGCTGTGGCATTTAAAAAAAAACATGACAAAATTATGCAATTGTTAAAACTAGATTTACATTATAAAACATCAATTTAAAGTTTCTAAAACTTGAATTCTATAGAAGAGCACCTTAATTATTGATATCAGATGATCAATGGCCATGATCAACACAAATGATCAATGTAGGTGATCAACAACTGATCAACCCAGGTGATCAACAACTGATCAACCCAGGTGATCATCAACTGATCAACCCAGGTGATCATCAACTGATCAACCCAGGTGATCATCATGGCCAATCAACATGACTGATCAACCCAGGTGATCAACAACTGATCAACTCAGGTGATCATCATGGCCAATCAACATGACTGATCAACCCAGGTGATCAACAACTGATCAACTCAGGTGATCATCATGGCCAATCAACATGACTGATCAACCCAGGTGATCAACAACTGATCAACCCAGGTGATCATCATAGCCAATCAACAAGTGATCACCCCAGGTGATCAACAACTGATCAACCCAGGTGATCAACAAGTGATCAACCCAGGTGATCAACAACTGATCAACCCAGGTGATCATCATAGCCAATCAACATGACTGATCAACAGACCTAATCAATGCTTTATTATGCTTTCAATTTGGCAGAGGAATCAGCCAGGTAAAACTTGATACCACGTAGACTGCGGCTATTGACATCTTTCTGGGCTATACTTGGTATGTCTGAATGGTGACTGGTTGTGGTTTCAATGCTCTCCTACGTTTGGTCTGTCTAAATGTGGTTGTCCTCTGTCCTTCTGTTTTTGTGTTTGTCTTTAGCCGCGTGAGTTAATGAAGACCTGGAGTTGATACATGTTGTGTCCTTAAAGATGTTGCTGGCATTAGCTGTTCATAATGGATACAAGTTATGCAGGGAAGGGTTCTGTTGGACAGGGGGGGGGGGGTGGGTAGTATCATGAGGTGACTAATGTGATGGGATAGTACCTGTGGGGGAGGGGGGGGGGGTGTATGTTTAAGTAGACGGGAAGTTTTCACCTAAGCTGCTGCGAGTGTCACAAGGTCGTGCTGAAGGAGTTGCGGTTGATGTGCAGCTGCGCAGGCCTGTCGCTGTTCTCCGCGGGCACGGACACGCTGCTGGGGGAGGGGGAAGGCTGGTCGAAGCTGGAGGAGAAGCGGGTCAGCGTGGGCTCGGATGTGTTGGAGTAATCTGTTGCGTCGCTGTCTTTCTGGTAGGGGGAGGAGGAGGAGGAGAGGATGGAGGGGGAGGAGAGGGGCGGGGACATGGAGGAGAGTTTAAAGCTATCGGAGGAGTTCGGACCCTCAGACTGGGCGCGGGGGCTGCTGTTGGCTTCTAGAGAGTTCTTTGATAAGGGGGATGAACCTTTACTGCTCTGTCCATTCACAGACAACTGTGATGCCGATATGCTTGGGTTATTGCCCTTGCCAGGCGACTCCGAACCTGAACTGTTTTTAGAGAAAGTAAATTTCTTGGAGAAAATAGTGGGGGAGGCGGAGATCTTAGAGTGCCTGCCCTCCGTGTTTTTCTCCCTGTCTGATCCGTCGTCACCGCTCCCGCTCCCCCCTTTAATCTTCAGCGGCTGCATCTCCAGGTGGTCAACCATGATCTTCCCTCCACTGCTGGTCGTCTTGACCCCCACGCCCAAGGTCTCCACAAGGTCGCTGCCGCTGGTTGACTTCATGGAGGGGGTGTCGCTGTTGCGCCGGGCGGTCTCCCGGTTCTTGTTTTTGTCCACGCCCAGCTTGTTCATGAGCTTTGCCTTGATGCCCTTAGCCTGGGTGTGTTCCTGGTCTTCCTCCACTGTGGACAGCTTCTGGTTCTCGTCTTCCTCCACTATGTCAATGTCATCTGGGGAAACACAACAAGGGTTTTCTTTCATTTCTTACATTTATACTCAGATTTTATTTTTGTCTAATTTTTTCAAAGTTTTTAACATTCACTCAGGGTTTTCCTTGAATTTTTAAGTTTGTAACATATAGGTCTTTACTGTGATGTATTTTTAATTTTTAAAGAATTATTAAAAATTTATACTGGGTATTTTTTTCTCATTTACAAAGTTTGTAAAGTTTATACAGGAATTGTTTTTACTTTTTTTAACATTCACACTAAAATTTTCTTAACTTTTAAAGATTTTTAAATTTTCATTAACTTCTGATAAAATATTCTTGAAATCATAGTAATAAGTATTTATTATTAACAGTTTCTCTCTAAATGAAAAACTAGACGTGTAAATTATGTTTGGCACAAAGGTCACAAACTAACCTGGCAACTTTTTAGCCTTGAAGGAGGCATTAGTGATGCTGTGTTTGGCAGCATAGACAGTTTTCTGTTTTTGTGTTTCCACGGTGACGCCATGGTTATCAAACTTGAAGTTGCCACGGTGATAGGAGTTCAGCATGGCATTGGTGATCTAAATGGGGAAAACATTGGGGTAAATATTTGTCTGTCTTCTTGTACACTGCCAGGATGTTTTTGTGGACTATATTAATTTGGCTGAATGTTAAAACATTAGGATAAATATTTGTCTGTCTTTTTGTTACACTGTCAGGGATGTTTTTGTAGAATACATTAATTTGGCTGAATGTTAAAACATTGGGATAAATATCTGTTAGTCTTTTTGTTACACTGTCAGGATGTTTTTGTGGACTATGTTAATGTGTCTGGATATTCAAACCATTGGTACCTAACATGTATAACTCAGTAAATGGATCATCAGAGAATACTGGCTTCATAAACTATTATCAAGTTATTTGTGAATAATTTAGAGAAACAAAAAACACTTAACAAATGTCATGAGGTAGGTGGGCAATTGTCATGAAATAGGTGTCCAAATGTCACAAAGTAGGTTGGTAATGTCATGAGGTAGGTGGGCAAATGTCATGAAGTAGGTTGGTAATGTCATGAAGTAGGTGGGTAAATGTCATGCAGTAGGTGGGCAAATGCCAGGAAGTAGGTGGGCAAATGCCACGAAGTAGGTGGGAAAATGTCACGAAGTAGGTGGGCAAATGTCATGAAGTAGTTGTACAAATGTCATGAATTAGTGGAGTAATATGAAGGTAGATGAGAGAAGCTGCAGAACAGAGCATCCATGCAGTGAAAGCTTACAAGTAAAACATCCGAGTACAGCTCATACGAGGCTCTGTTATGGGTCTCCTTCACCGCTTCAAGGGCCAGCTTCTTGTGTCCATTAAACCTGAACCAGAAAATATAAATTACTGACCTAACTGGCAAGCCTAATGTCTAGAGAACACATGGTTGGCCTACACTTTCATCTTTTATCTGGCCAATCTCCTGTGACCCCACAAGCCAACTTAATCCAGTTGTTATAGTGTTTGTGTGACCAGGGGATCTCCATGCCCCATTCAATAAAGATAAACGCAGCAATGTTTAACACATAATCAAATAGAGTATGATCTGTTTACTCCATAGCCCTTGTTATCATTCCAAGTAACTAATCTACAATACACCCAGGGCAACATCTGTCTTTTTGCACTGGGTGGGCCAACCTATCATGGGGTATATAACAACCTATCATGGGGTATATAACAACCTATAATTGGGTATAACAAACTATGATGGGGTGTAGCAACTTACATGGCAAAGTAGGTGGCCATCATGAACTCTACCAGTAGGGAGGGGAAGAGAGCGATGCGAGGCTCCTGTGTTGACGACGTGATGCCACGTTTAGCAAAACCTGTTTCATTTAACCTGAAACATTCAAGACAACATGTCTCATTTAACCTGAAACATTGAAGACAAAACATGTCTCATTTAACCTGAAACATTGAAGACAAAACCTGTCTCATTTAACCTGAAACATTGAAGACAAAACCTGTCTCATTTAACCTGAAACATTGAAGACAAAACCTGTCTCATTTAACCTGAAACATTGAAGACAAAACCTGTCTCATTTAACCTGAAACATTGAAGACAAAACCTGTCTCATTTAACCTGAAACATTCAAGACAACATGTCTCATTTAACCTGAAACATTGAAGACAAAACATGTCTCATTTAACCTGAAACATTGAAGACAAAACCTGTCTCATTTAACCTGAAACATTGAAGACAAAACCTGTCTCATTTAACCTGAAACATTGAAGACAAAACCTGTCTTATTTAACCTGTAACATTGAAGACAAAAACTGTCTCATGTCATGTGTCTTCATTCATCAGACAAACATTCTCACTGACTTGCCTACAACAAACACAGACCAATTACATCATTTACCATGTCCCCATTTACTTAGTCACTTTACTTGTTTACATTACACTGACACATTAAGCTATTTTCACACATGGAACTTTTGATCCAAATCTAACTTGTTACATTACACTGGCACATTAAGCTATTTTCACACATGGAACTTTTGATCCAATTCTAACTTTTCATGAACACAAACACATTAAAATTTAGTGATGATTTAATCAAGATCACACATACATGGATTACATTATTTGATAATCATAATTAACTAAACATTCAGCTCTAATGTTAGCCAATGGCCCCGCCTACTAATTAACATAATGAACTCACTTGATTATAGCACTACACAAGGCCTGTAGTGAGAGACTGTGGTAGCTGTCTACGTGTCTGTTGTAGTGCTGCATGACGTACGACAAGATGCTGAACCTACAAAATAGAGGTTTACAGGTTGGACAAGATGCTGAACCTACAAAATAGAGGTTTACAGGTTGGACAAGATGCTGAACCTACAAAATAGAGGTTTACAGGTTGGACAAGATGCTGAACCTACAGAATAGAGGTTTACAGGTTGGACAAGATGCTGAACCTACAAAATAGAGCTTTACAGGTTGGACAAGATGCTGAACCTACAAAATAGAGGTTTACAGGTTGGACAAGATGCTGAACCTACAAAATAGAGGTTTAGAGGTTGGACAAAGTGCTGAGGTCCTACAGAAATATAAGAGGTTTATAGGTTGGACAAAATAGGACAATCTTAATCAACAAATATTTACTGAGTGCCTTCTTCACAGGTCTGTTGATTGGAGAGATACTTGGTGAGGTAGAGGGTGAGATAGAAAGAGTGATACTTGGTGAGGCAGAGTGTATGATAGAAAGAGTGAGATACTTGGTGAGGTAGAGGGTGAGATAGAAAGAGTGAGATACTTGGTGAGGTAGAGGGTGAGATAGAAAGAGTGAGATACTTGGTGAGGTAGAGGGTGAGATAGAAAGAGTGAGATACTTGGTGAGGTAGAGGGTGAGATAGAAAGAGTGAGATACTTGGTGAGGTAGAGGGTGAGATAGAAAGAGTGAGATACTTGGTGAGGTAGAGGGTGAGATAGAAAGAGTGAGATACTTGGTGAGGTAGAGGGTGAGATAGAAAGAGTGAGATACTTGGTGAGGTAGAGGGTGAGATAGAAAGAGTGAGATACTTGGTGAGGTAGAGGGTGAGATAGAAAGAGTGAGATATTTGGTGAGGTAGAGGGTGAGATAGAAAGAGTGAGATACTTGGTGATGTAGAGGGTGAGATACTTGGTGAGGTAGAGTGTGAGATAGAAAGAGTGTGATATACTAGGTGAGGTAGAGGGTGAGATAGAAAGAGTGAGATACTTGGTGAAGTAGAGTGTGAGATAGAGTGTGACTGACCTGTTCTGGGCATTGAAGCGCTCATGCTGAGGGTAGGGCCCAGACTTCCACAGAGAGTGTGAGTTGTTGAGGGACCTCAGGGCGTGTTCTGTCAGTGGCTCCGTTACCCCGGGGATCCGGGACTGGAAATAAATTCATTAATTACATTAACATTAATCAACTAATTAGCCAAATAATCTACAGTGGTATAATGAGTTTCAGTAGGTCTCCATGTCTAGTCCATGGCGTTGTGTGTACATGTCTAGTCCATGGTGTTGTGTGTACATGTCTAGTACATGGTGTTGTGTGTACATGTCTAGTCCATGGTGTTGTGTGTACATGTCTAGTACATGGTGTTGTGTGTACATGTCTAGTACATGGTGTTGTGTGTACATGTCTAGTACATGGTGTTGTGTGTACATGTCTAGTACATGGTGTTGTGTGTACATGTCTAGTACATGGTGTTGTGTGTACATGTCTAGTACATGGTGTTGTGTGTACATGTCTAGTACATGGTGTTGTGTGTACATGTCTAGTACATGGTGTTGTGTGTACATGTCTAGTACATGGTGTTGTGTGTACATGTCTAGTCCATGGCGTTGTGTGTACATGTCTAGTCCATGGTGTTGTGTGTACATGTCTAGTACATGGTGTTGTGTGTACATGTCTAGTACATGGTGTTGTGTGTACATGTCTAGTACATGGCATTGTGTGTACATGTCTAATAAATGGCATTGGGTGTACATGTCTAGTCCATGGCATTGTGTGTACATGTCTAGTACATATCACTGTGTGTACATAACTTGTAAATGGTGTGTGTACATGTATTTTTAAACACTACATCTGATACCAATGTGATAGATACATCTTTACCAGAACACTAAGTATATCTGTACCACACCATATAACAATACAGCATGCCTCACCTCTACCACACCATATAACAGCATGCCTCACCTCTACCATACCATATAACAGTTACAGCAGGTCTCACCTCTACCACACCATATAACAGCATGCCTCACCTCTACCACACCATATAACAGCATGCCTCACCTCTACCACACATTGTAACCGTAGGTCTCACCTCTACCACACCATATAACAGCATGCCTCACCTCTACCACACCATATAACAGCATGCCTCACCTCTACCATACCATATAACAGTTACAGCAGGTCTCACCTCTACCACACCATATAACAGCATGCCTCACCTCTACCACACCATATAACAGCATGCCTCACCTCTACCACACCATATAACAGCATGCCTCACCTCTACCACACCATATAACAGTTACAGCAGGTCTCACCTCTACCACACCATATAACAGCATGCTTCACCTCTACCACACCATATAACAGCATGCCTCACCTCTACCACACCATATAACAGCATGCCTCACCTCTACCACACCATATAACAGTTACAGCAGGTCTCACCTCTACCACACCATATAACAGCATGCCTCACCTCTACCACACCATATAACAGCATGCCTCACCTCTACCATACCATATAACAGTTACAGCAGGTCTCACCTCTACCACACCATATAACAGCATGCCTCACCTCTACCACACCATATAACAGCATGCCTCACCTCTACCACACCATATAACAGCATGCCTCACCTCTACCATACCATATAACAGTTACAGCAGGTCTCACCTCTACCACCCCATATAACAGCATGCCTCACCTCTACCACCCCATATAACAGTTACAGCAGGTCTCACCTCTACCACCCCATATAACAGCATGCCTCACCTCTACCACCCCATATAACAGTTACAGCAGGTCTCACCTCTACCACACCATATAATATGTATTACCTCTACCACACCATATAACAGCATGCCTCACCTCTACCACCCCATATAACAGTTACAGCAGGTCTCACCTCTACCACACCATATAATATGTATTACCTCTACCACACCATATAACAGCATGTCTCACCTCTACCACCCCATATAACAGTTACAGCAGGTCTCACCTCTACCACACCATATAATATGTATTACCTCTACCACACCATATAACAGCAGGTTTCACCTCTACCACCCCATATAACAGTTACAGCAGGTCTCACCTCTACCACACCATATAATATGTATTACCTCTACCACACCATATAACAGCACGTCTCACCTCTACCACACCATATAACAGTACAGCATGTCTCACCTCTACCACCCCATATAACATGTCTCACCTCTACCACCCCATATAACAACATGTCTCACCTCTACCACACCATATAACAGCATGTCTCACCTCGTGATATATAGAAGCCCTGCTGATGGTGGGGACCCGGATGTTCTCAACCACTGGTGTCCCATCTGGCTTGACAATTTCCTGGTTAAAGAAACAAAACAAAACATAAGGTTTGCTGCTAAACATGGTCACCTCATGCAATGTATCATAGTTAAAGAAACAAAACATAAAACGTAAGGTGTGGTGCTAAATATGGTCACCTCATGCAATGTATCATAGTTAAATATACAAACAAATAGCGCATGGTGTAATGCTAAACATGGTCATCTTACTCACGCAAAATAACATTGATACAAGATAAAATACATAATTTGACTGCTGTAGATTTTAATTACATGCAGAATGTTTTAAACTTAAATTTTCCTACAAAAATCATTAGATTTAAACCAATATTTAACTACATTACACTTGTATGTTTAAAGAATGTTCAAATTCCTCTTGCTTTTAGTTTTAGTAGGCGGTGTCTACCCTACATCTGCGCCAATATTTAATTTTCATTGGTTCATAACTTCACCGGCTCCGTATTTCTTTTCTATTTGGTCACCATTAATTATTCAATTCAAAGCCCGTTTGCCGTAGCTTGTACAATTGGAGTAACCAGACATTAAAAAGCCATATTTCTTGAGCTGCCGTTCAAACATCGCGCGACAGTGAATCATAGCGCCAGTTGAAGCTTCTAAAAGCTGCAACATTCGAAGGCAAAACATCGAGGTTAAGACCTCATTAGCTCACACTGTTGACATGGGCAGTGGAAAAAAAAAACGGCAGCGTCCATTTTGTTTCCACATCCGTCTCATCAATCAAAACGAGGCCATATTTCCTGGTGATTGACTCACCCAGGGGCGGCTACTCTCGCCTCAACTTGATCGTCGTGACGCAGGCGTCAACAGTGCACATGCACTGACCAGTGTATCAAGTGCACTGACTGACAAATGTACTGAGTGCACTAGTACTGACCAATGTACTGAGTGCCCTAATACTGACCAATATACTGAGTGCCTTAAGACTGACCAATGTACTGAGTGCCCTAAGACTGACCAATGTACTAAGTGCCCTAAGACTGACCAATGTACTAAGTGCCCTAAGACTGACCAATGTACTGAATGCAAACAACCTCGCCGACTTTAGGAAAATTGGAAAACTTCAACCGGCAAAAAACATGTGACCTACTTTCTTGAGCACGAAGAATGTCCAAAATGGTTAATCAGGCGAGGACCAGCGGTGGACACAGAGGAGGGGAGGTGGGAGGGAGGGTGGGATGGGTGTGTGAGTGAGAGAGAGGGAGTGTTAGGGGGTGGGTGGAGTGTGAGGGGGTGGGTGGAGTGTGAGGGGGTGGGAGGGAGGGAGTGTTAGGGGGTGGGTGGGGTGGGTGTATGAACATGAAACAAGGCCAAGAAAATTTGGGCGGGCTGAGGCAGCATCAGATGGGAGAAAACACGAAAGCCTGGTCGGTCGATATCAAGGGACGGGGGTGGGGATGAGGGGGCGGGGGGTGGGGGGTCACCCTCATTTATGGACCCAAGAAAAGAAACAGTAATGGAATTTTTGCTCGCTTCTCACTCAAGGCTCCCAGCAAAAATCAATACCCGCTCTCCCAGTGTGTAAGGAAAGACAACCATTTTTTTCCCCCATCGCTCCCCCCACCCCCTCCCTTCTATTCTTCCTTCTTTTAGAGCCACTTCCGGGTCCCAAACTTTCAAAGACATTCCAGCCACGATGATTGTTCTCCCACCCCGGCTCTCATTCATTACGTCACCACCCGTCAACCCCCACCACCCCCCCCCCCCTTCCACCCTAAAAAAAAAAGTCGCTGACCTGTTTTTCTGCGGACAACTTGTAGCTGACCCAGATTCGCCTCGTGCTCCAATTTCTAAAGATAGTTTCACATCACGTCCGTTAGAAATGCGAGAAACTTGGAATCCGAGGCGACGGACATTTTTTTTTTTTACAAAATCTGATTCATCACTGCTATGGATTCGCACTCCCCTCCACACAACAAATTGATGCTCAACGACATTGCGGTCTCAGAACTTGAACACGCAGCATCGGACGTGTGGGTGTGTTGGATGTGTAACAGTGGCAGCCTCGCTCTGGACAGCAACAAGTGAATGACACACCACGAATATCTGCCCCCACACTCCGAATGGCCGCCCCCCACCACGAATATCTGCCCCCCACCACGAATATCTGCCCCACACCACGAATATCTGCCCCACACCACAAATGGCTGCCCCACACCACGAATGGCTGCCCCCCACAACTCGAATATCTGCCCCACACCACGAATATCTGCCCCACACCACGAATATCTGCCCCACACCACGAATATCTGCCCCACACCACGAATATCTGCCCCACACCACGAATATCTGCCCCACACCACGAATATCTGCCCCACACCACGAATATCTGCCCCACACACCGAATACCTGCTCCACACCACGAATATCTGCCCCACACCACGAATATCTGCCCCACACACCGAATACCTGCTCCACACCACGAATATCTGCCCCACATCCCGAATATCTGCCCCACACACCGAATACCTGCTCCACACCACGAATATCTGCCCCACACCACAAATGGCTGCCCCACACAACAAATATCTGCCCCACACCACGAATATCTGCCCCACACCCCGAATATCTGCCCCACACCACGAATATCTGCCCCACACCACGAATATCTGCCCCACACCACGAATATCTGCGCACCCCGAACAACTGCCCCACATACACCAAATGACCGCCCCATACATCCTAACCTACGTTTGCATTTCCCAGCAAAAACTGTCCAAACCCAAGCAATTGTTTTCTAGAAGTTTCTATTGCGCCCCCTCCCCGTATCACTGGCGTAATACATTCAATGCCACGCCCACACGGCTACTACTTGTCTTTGACGTTAATCTAATCTTATCAGAGGACAGTTTGATGGAAATCAGGGGAAATGTACAATTTGGTTATAATTGAAACCTTGACAGAGTTTTAATCTAAACATCTACTGTATCGTCATGACGGTTCGGCTACATCACACCATCAGGTAACAAACGTGATTTATGCTGGATAAGACATTGGTAGAGGGTGTTAGAGGGGAGACAGTATGATAGGAAACACTGGCTTCTGATAGAGGATAGTGATACAGGGAGGTAGTCGGGAGATGTCAGTGGTACAGGGAGGTAATCGGGAGACATGTATGTACAGGGAGGTAATAGGGAGAGGACAGTGGTACAGGGAGGTAATTGGGAGACGGCAGTGGTACAGGGAGGTAATTGGGAGATAAAGAGAGGTACAGGGAGGTAATCGGATTGATTCAGTTCCCTGCAGGAGAGAACCTGAACAAAAAAAATTCTATTAGAGCCAGAGATTGAATTAGCTGGAGATCTGGAATATTTAAACATGTGGAGAGGACCAGGTTTAATGGAGAAATCATCAGGACATAGAGGACTTCATCATTAGGACATTGGACCGTCATAATCAGGACATTGGGCCGTCATAATCAGGACATTGGACCGTCATAATCAGGACATTGGACCGTCATAATCAGGACATTGGGCCGTCATAATCAGGACATTGGACCGTCATAATCAGGACATTGGACCGTCATAATCAGGACATTGGACCGTCATAATCAGGACATTGGACCGTCATAATCAGGACATTGGACCGTCATAATCAGGACATTGGACCGTCATAATCAGGACATTGGACCGTCATAATCAGGACACTGGGCCGTCATAATCAGGACATTAGTAATCAAATGATTTAGGGAACCAAGTGACTCAGGGAACCAAATGATTTAGGGAACTAAATGATTTAGGGAACTAAATGACTTAGGCAACCAAATGACTCAGGGAACCAAATGACTTAAGCAACCAAATGATTTAGGGAACCACGTGACTCAGGGAACCACGTGACTCAGGGAACCAAATGACTCAGGGAACTAAATTACCCAGGGAACCCAATGACTTAGGGAACCAAACTTATTGCTTGTAGCGGAATCCTGACAAACATTCCTATTCATACAGAACGAATGAGCCGGTTGCCATGGTTACCAGCGGGCTTCTAATTTCCGTTCTTTATTAGAAAACCGAAGAGGAAATCGGGCAGAGAAGGAATGATATGGGGCAGGGCGGCTACAACATAACGCTGGCTTTACATCCAGCACTAATGGCCTTCAGGGGGGCTAAATAAATCATTCAAATCGGACATTCATTAGAAATAAAAACATCAATAGGTGTTGTCCGTGGCTTGCCTTAAGCTCACAGTCAATGGCGTGGGTGCTTTAAGCTCCCTAAGTCAAATCTGTGGGTGCTTTAAGCTCCCTAAGTCAAATCTGCGGGTGCTTTAAGCTTCATAAGTCTAAGCCGTGGTGCTTTAAGCTCCACCAGATGAAGTCGTACACTTGTCTTAAGCTCTCCCAACGCAAGTCGTAAATGTCTTTAGCTCTCCCGGACGAAGACGCCTTTAGCTCCCCAGTCATAGGCGCAGACAGCCCCGCAGTGTTTCTTCCAGACTTTTTTCTCCGGGGGTGCACTTGAAATTTTCGAAGGGCGGACAACAATTTCCGGGGGGAGGAGGAAGGGCACTGTCAAAAGTATATATTTTCTAGATAAATTCCATTTCGTTCGACCCCCCCCCCCCCCCTCCGCCGAAGAGATACCTGGAAGAAACTCTGCAGCCCTGCAAATCCACCGCCCCACTCCTCTTCAGTAAACGGTTCATCTAAACGCCACTACACACGACAATAATCCGCCGATAGCTGAGCGTATAAAACAATAGACCCGCACAATCGTCGCGACGCCGTAAGAATGCTTTCTATTGGCTGATAAGATAATGACGCGGTGGAGATAATTATGGCGTCATTGTTTCATCACTGGGAGAAGCGTCGCGGTGACTCCATTAAATTGATGGATAGGATCCACGCTCGGCCGACCGTATTGTTTTCCTACCCAGGCTCGGCTACTCAGGGGCTTTAACTCGCGGAGATCTCGCGCCAGCGGGGATTGACCAATGGAGAGCATGCATTAGAGAGTATCGATTTTTTTTTCAGTGGAGAGATTCGGTGGTTTAACAAGTTAA